GCACACACATATACACGCGCACACACACACACACACACACACACACACATACATGCACACACACATACACACACATATACACGCACACACACATATACACGCGCACACACACACACACTCTGCCTTCAGCAAGGACAAAGCTGCTGATCTCACTGTTTACAATGACGCAGCTCGCTGAAGCCAAAAACAACCCTGTTTAATGGCTTTTTGTTTAATGGTGAATTCAGGAGTATTTCTGTGGTCGTCCTGAATCTTGTAGACCTGCTTTCTCCTCGCTCCATGTTTGGTAAATTCTCCTCTGCTAAATGTGTTGGCTGGCTGGTGGTTAGACCTGTGATCTGAAACCCAATAACAAGGATCAAATGCCAGTGTGAATTTACAATTTTGGATGTAAATTTTCACCGTAGGTGATATGATCTTAAAACATAACACAGCATGTCAGGTAGTTGTTATTAAAAATTGTTATTAAAGTAATGTTAACTGTATTTATATGAATAAGGCTAAATTGTATTAAGCACATCATTTTACAGTTTACAAGTCAAATAAAAGAAAAAATTTCCTTGACAAATAAAATATTTACTACCAACTAATTAATACTAATTATGTATTTTAAATTTGTTTATGAAAGTGTAAAATTATATATAAAAATATATTTTATATATGTTATATTATTATATAAAATAAAATATAATTATTTAAAATAATATTATATGTAAAACTTTATTGCAGTAACTATTACTGTACATGTTTCTGTATTACATTTGTGAATTCTTCAGGAAATGTGCTGAATTGTTATTAAAATAATGTGCAAAAACATCTTATTTATTTATTATTATTTTTTATTTCTTTAGGTTTTGAGTGAAATGTACGGAGCCCCGCACATGACATGCAAGAATTTTTTTTATAAATCGTGGGCACGATTTATTAATTCGTTCCCTCATTTTAAGTTAATTGTGTGCTCGATATAATAATCCATGCCCTCATTCTAGGTAAATTGTGCGTGCAAAATAATAATTAGTTGTACTTCCTGTCCGCGTACGCATTCTCATAAACATGTTGCTGCTATATGATGTCATGTTATGTTATGAACAGAGACACTTTAATTGGATTTTATTATGAATTTGGAATGAGTTATAGAGACATTCTCAAAAGCCTTGCAGTGTTGCATGGAATCATATTAAGTCAGAGGCATCTACATCGCATACTAAGAATTGGAAGACTCTACCGGTATACCGGCGATGGCGCACGATTTACCTAGAATGAGGGCACAAATTATTATATCGAGCGCATGATTTACTTAAAACGAAGGAATGAATTAGCCTATTAAATCGTGCGCACAATCTAGTAAATCGAGAGAACGAATTAATAAATTGTGCCCACGATTTTTTAATTTTTTTGCATGTCATGTGCGGGGCTCCGTAGAAATGTGACCTGGACATGTTTTTGAGATAAACTGACCTTGTCAAGTACAGTGTGTTTTTAACTTTTCGTGCCCTATCCAAGGTGATCTGCTATGCTGTACATTTTGATATGATACAAGTGGATGGCCAGACACATACATTAGGTGGGCGTTATCTAAATAATATGCTTTCTACATCACTGCTTATAATTTGAAGACAGGCTTCAGGCTTTCTCTCTCAGAGCTGTCTGCTGTCCTCTAGAGCCATCTGGCCTGGGTCTGTTTCACCACAATGTGATACTGGCCATAATTGGCCATGAGAGGATGAAACGCATGCCGGGTCTCGGATGACATAAAGCAGACCAGCGTTACTCTGGTCTTTCCAGGTCTTTCTGTGTTTGCGATCCATGCCCAGGCCCCTTAAGGCTCTCTGCTTCGCATCCTCTCTCGTTTTCTCAGCGTATACGATGCATTATGCAATATGTGAAATGCAGGAGTCTGCTTTGGGGGGTCCTCTGTGACGTCCTTCCCCTGTTGTGAGCGTTAACCCAGGGTCAGAGGGTTGCTTTGGGATGTTTCTGTTCGCAGGTTCTCACAGCTCGGAATTCTTTAGCTGAATACCATCTTCGGAATTCTTTCCGTAGAATTCTCCTGGGATGGAAGGCAGGCACGGACCCTCCATTAGCGTAATGTAAACACAGAGTGCCACTGAAATGCACAACGTCCCGTCTGTTTACATATTTTCCATCCCTGCTGTAGGTGGCCATTAAAACCGTGAGAGAAAGGCTGTTGCTGATGCCAGGTTATGTGCGTGTTCCTCACCTACATCGTAATATTCACCGTATCCTGGGTCTGATACTCTGGAGACCCGGCCAGCTTTCCACCCTAGTTGTCGATGATTTTTTATTTATCAAGGGTAGTTGTTTCAGCCATGTCTGGACATTAACCAAACACATTTAAATCATACTGTAATTGACTCTGAGGTGCTGGAGACAGGAATGAAACAACATGTCCTTTTTAGGTGCTCCGTGTGCTGTGTTTTCGACAGAGATCTTCAGATCTGCAAGCCGAACAGCTGCCCTTTCACAGTTTATGAACCAAAACACAGAGTTATTGAATAATCCCATATGCTGAGGGGTTGCAAGTGAATTTGTGTTGTCGATGACCTATCCAAGCCCTTAAGCCCCATAAAAAAAAGAGCGCTCAACTATTTAAAAGGGCATATACTTTATTTAAATTATTTATTTTTAATTAAATAATTAAAATAATTAAAGTATATAATTTGTATAAATCTAGTTTTTATGTATTATAAAATTATATATTTTAATTATTTCAACATGAATTATACATAAATAAATAAATATATACTATATATAATTTTTTTTAAATATATTATGTGATTCATTTTTTATTATATATTTCATTAAATTATAATGATACAATCATTATAAATTATAATGGAATTATTAATAACAGTAATTTTATATACATAAAATTGAATGACCTGCCCAGCTCAATCCGAGCAGCTGAGTCCTTAGCCATCTT